TTGTGCGATAGCAATTTGCTAATCCGTGATTACACAGAATATGTTTATTTAAGGTAACTATCATTAAAACACAGTTTTAAAATGATCACAGTAAATCATTAAAAAAATGCTAGGTGATGATTTACATACATACAATAACATCATTCATGAAGGATGTGTTTTCAAGAAAACATATGCAAAATAATCTATAAAGCGGCTATTTTGGAACATTTTCAGTAGCATTCCATGTAAACACATTATTCCATGGATAACTTAGTAATATTCAAAACTCTAAAATATTTCCTGTAGCCATCTAAAGACTGCATATCATTTTTTTTAGCGTAAATCACCAAACAAAATTTTGAGATATGATGGCATATTTCTGCCATAGAAACCAATTGTAAATTATTAAAAAAAAATGTTGATCAATTTCTGTGGATGTTTTTAATATTACAGTAACGCAACCCCGCATCAAGGATTGTTAGAAGTATTTTTTTAATGGTAGCAAACTACCTTATTACTTAATTTACATACCAATTTAACAGGCCATTGAGTAGACTTGAAATAGCTAGATTCAAAGCTACAGTTATTGTCTGGCATGTATTCTAATTTTATGTAAAGTACTGTAAATGTATTAATTATTCACTTCTTTTTAATTTCTCTATTTTTGCTGATAAGTAAAATCCACTAAATTTAAATATATGTAAAATGAAAATAGAAGTCATTGTTCTGTGCTAAGTTCACGAAATTAAAACCTCGTGAAATAGCTCAAACATTGAAATAATTGAAATTAAATGACAGTGAAAATAAATGGTTTTACAGTACTATGTATTGTACACTAGTTGTAGTATATGATGGAGAGCTCACAAAATATGACAATCATTATGCAAATTAGATAATTAACATGCTGAACAATTTACTGAATCATTACAGTGTGCATGTCTTACATTCAATTAAAATCCGATGAGCAGATGGATATACCAAATTGTTGCTCCACATCAAAATATTTTTAACAAATTGTGATACTATATCTGTTATTTTGCCTCTGAAACACAACAATTAAATATGCAAATCTTACATAATGAAATATGACATTCTAGTAAATTAGTGATATATTGTTTTGCTTATTATTTGAAATTTATATTTAGATGAAATGTTTGATTGTTTATTTTTTTTTTTATTAGGACATGCAAGGTTTGTGTGCATCTCAGATACACATTCTCAAACTAACAAAATGAATGTACTACCAGACGGTGATGTTCTGATACATGCAGGGGATTTCACAAATGTTGGTCGACCTAAAGAAGTTGACGAGTTCAATGAATGGCTTGGTGAGAGTTCTATTTTATATATATTATATGAAATATTTTGAAATTTTTCTCCTGTGAACATTTTGGTGATTTCAGTGAAGGTTGGGATGTTGTATCACCAAATCAAATCTAATTTTCATTGCTGTAATCACAAGTATTCATGTTAAGGTACTGTACCATAATAACTGTAATGTAGGCTGTTGAGCAACAACGTTGACAACGATAATGTTTTCCCAGATTCATTAAATACACACAAATTTGAGTGATTTGAAGAATTTCTTTCAAAATTGTTGTTTATTGACAATAATCAAATGATCACCAACTAAGCACATCTTTGCAGGAAGTTGTAGTTAAAGACCTATTGCATGAGTTTCCTATTGATTATATGATAAAACTACCAAGTGACGAATGAAACTGCATAGTTGTCAAAAGTAGGCAATTTATAAGTCATGGTCTTTAAAATGTTAATCTTTATGAAAACTGTTTGTTAACCACTAGCGATAAAAAACCTGTAGAGCCACATGAACTGCTTTCAACACCTAACAGTTAATATGATCTACATCCCAAAATCCCTGTACTTGCTGATCCTCAAGTATGCTTCATACTACATGTATGGTTGGCACGTTCAATATCACAGCTGTTGGCAAAGGTGGGTTCACCAACCTAGGGATTCTCCTCACCTGTTTGAGAGGTGTACTGCATCTAGAAGTCTAGGTATTGCTTGTAAACCTTCCTCTTCTTCAGAGATGCTGTACTATTACAATGCAACAAGCAGTATTATGGTTCTTACTGATGACATTCAAGTGATCTTGTGTGTAATGTTGTGAGTTGTTCCTCAAGGGGCGGACGGCTTCTGCATTTATGTCATCCTTACGTGAGAAACATGTTCGGTTAACTCTACTTGAGTGTGGAAGGTGTTCTGATGCAAACAAAACTATGATGATTGGAGGTTTCCGAGTGGGCTTCATAGCAGTGATTGTGTTGTGAATGGTATTGTCATTTGTTGTCACTTGTGTGATATTCCCTTCTGCCCTCCCAAAGTACAGGGAACAGCAATGTGATGCGCTCCTGTGATGTAGAAACTATGTAAGTCCATGCAAACAATGAAGTTGGAAGGGACAACTGTATTCGGTTGTGTAGTTGTTGATCATTTAAACAATGGCACATTGGATGGCGTGCTATGCACCCATTTATATTGCCCAAGCTCTTTGTTTTTAGAAAGCATGACTAATTAAAAAGATGTATTATATAATGAATACTTTGGGTATTTCCACAACAGGGAAGCAGCCTTTCCAGTATAAAATAGTGATTGCAGGTAATCATGAGCTGACATTCGATCAGGAATTGGTGAAGGCTGGGACAAGCCCTGTTTGGCAGTCATACTTCAGGTCCACGTCTGCTGCCAGTGTTGCTAATATCCATGAGAAACTCACCGATTGTATATATTTATTGGATGAACATATTAACATACTAGGATTTAATATATATGGATCACCTTGGTAAGTCGAGTATTCAAACATTCGAAGGTGTTCATGTTTATGTGTTGTTCTGTGGCAGATGTTTTTGATGAATAATATGTTTGGTAATGTGTTCAAATATTTCAAATTGTACATTAGTACATGCATGATACATAAAATGAAGGATGGAAAAGATGGCGTTGGTACGTTCAGTTTTGTATAAAATTATATTTTATTCCGACTGCCAATTCCACTTTCTTGTTTGCCAATCGATTCTGTAAAATACAGGATTGGTACATAAAATGCGTGTATTTTAACATTTACATTAACTGTACACCTGTCCAACCTGGTGAATGATTCTTGACAGACAATATTTGTTTATCATTTCAACAGAACATTGATCAGCACTGACCTGTTTTTGTTTGTTGTGCTCCTATTTGTAGGTTCCCAGAATTTGTGAATTAATTTTTAGAGTGATTACCAATCAAAGCCATTGTGTGTTTATAAATGATAAACCCTTCATTTAGTTGAAACATTTGTATTGAGAGACGAAATAGCTAACACATTTCTAATTGCAGGCAACCAGAATTCTGTGATTGGGGATTCAATTTACCCAGAGGTGAACAGTTATTGCAGACTTGGAACAAGATACCTGACGACACAGACATACTAATAACTCATGGCCCACCTATCGGTAATTATTATATTTCATTCAATATGACGTACACAACGCGGGAAAAATACATTGTTAGTTTCCATGAAATTCGAACACGCGCTGCGCGACGAGCACCGCCCTTTAATGTTAATATGTACCTTACCAATTGTGTAGAAGAATGTGATGTATATGGTACACAATGTTATATTTATTAATTATTATCTTAGACAATTACACTATGCTGTCATCGCTCCGCGGCATATTCGATACGTGTGCCATACGTTGTATAACATGTATAACCTAGAATATGGCACACATGATGGATGCTCGTTTTAGTTGATTGCACGATATCCGGTTTTGAATCAACTCACTCTTCACTACTGCTATTACGATTCATTATTTCAGGCCACGGTGATAAAACAAATGATAGTATTAGGGCTGGATGTGTTGAACTGCTGAGTACAATCCAACAGCGTGTCAAACCAAAATACCATATATTTGGTCATATACACGAAGGTAGTTATAGTTTACATGCTTATATCATGTTGACTTATCATTAATGCCATGTAGACAATTCTATTATGAGAAACGTTTTTCGAACTAAAAGGGTTATGATTTTTGTTTCCTTACAGGCTATGGTATAAGCACCGATGGTGTCACCACTTATATCAATGCATCTATATGTACATTTAATTATAGACCAACGAATTTACCAATTATATTTGACCTTCCAATGCAGAAAAAGAAGTGACGAATCAGTGCATGGATAACGTTATTGCAACATTTGAGTATTTTGTGCTTAATGTACTTTTGTACCTTTCGTATTTATTGTATTGTTCTTTGTGTAGGTATATTTATTTTGTCAACTTTATACATATTTTCAGAAAAGTGAATAGATAATGTATTTTGTACATAACTTATTTTATATTTGTATAGTTAAATAAATATTGACGAGCTGTTTCTTTATGTTATTTTTTTCTGTGATGTAATTTCATTAAATTTCCATTTTCAGCCCCACTGTCATTGTGTATTGCTTTTTTCTTGGTAGTCATTTGTCAAGGACATATAATGTCTACATATTCATTGTACTATGATTTTTTGGAATACACAAATCATTTCACACACATTTTGTGAAATAAATAAATCAATCTCTTAGACAAGGTTTACATGTCATTGTGGTTGTAAAGACACTGATGTCACAACACATGTATGGCTTCAACGTTTATGTTCCCTATATTGAATAGGGTGTGTATGTTCTACTACATAAAAAACAACTGAAATTCGCCATCTCATTTTATATTACCCGACATCACATCCCCATACCATATATTATCTGTTATTTTGGAGACACAGAGTGATCTTTTTTAAATTGAACTGAATAATATTTGAACATGTAATTACTAAACAAAATAATGACCACTGTTTTAATCTCCTTGGTTACAACAAACATCTGACTGTCAATGAACAATTATATATTACTCAAAAAAAATCCACTAAGATCATTAATGATAAATAGTGTTGACATCAGAATTTATTAATGTGTTTAGTTTGACATCAAATTGTCATGGAATTAGACCTGTAAATATAAATACAAACATATGCACATACCAATTATGAAATGAAGAATTAAAGTGAAATGTTACAAATAGCCTCTTGCAAGATTCAAACTCTCGACCATCATGATGAAACCAATCAATGTTCAGTATTCAGGCAGTAGAGTAGGCTGCGTTGCCTGGAGTTTAGCATGTTGTTTTCGCATACTGAAGCTCTAAAGGCCAATGCAATCAAATATGTAAATGCTAACTGATAAACGTTATATGTTCTCCAACCACTACAAAGTCACTTGCATATGACTCGCCTATATTACTATCCGATGCATTCCGGGAAGTGACACCTCACACTCTACCATCTACCATCCACATTCTGATACAGTAAAGGAATTAGTTCAGATTACATTTCCAATCAGTATACATGTCACACCATAGCTTGCAACAGTTAATTAAATATTTATTACAATTTAAAAGACTAAAAAAGTAACAAACCTGATAGTTGGTCTTTGGGACAGCTACTACAACAATTTTATATCACTGAGTTTCCACCTCCCATGTATGATACATTAAGTACTTTCTGGTTCGTGAACTTTAATGTTCTCAGAACATACATTGTCACATACCAAATTTAAGTGCAATCCATCTATTTTATGCATTTCTTTTAACCATTCTGATAACAAACTTTATTATCTTCTTGAAAACTACCAGCTCCCTATAATTTATCGTCCTTCAACTCCTAAATGCACAAATAACAAAACACAATTAATATGTATGAATTAAATTACCTTCTTTACCTTTCTGTCAATGTTATAATGTGATATTTATAGTTTTGTTGTGATTTTGAGATGAGTTTGTCTTAAATGTTTTGCCCTTTGTTTATTCGAATACCAATATGAATATTAGGATACCAATATGAATTATTAAAATGCACCAATACAGAGTACTTAATTCAGGGTAGATATTCAAATTTATCTAAATTTTCCTTTTTAAATGTCTATGGATATATTCTTTTTCTTATAGAAATGCTAAATTTTGTGTTGGTCCAAAAAGTAAGTTGTTATACGGGTTAAGTAGTAAGTTCTTTGCCTGCTGCCAAGCGCCAAATCATGACATCACATATTTAAACAATGTAACTACGATGTAATTAATTAAAGAGATTGAAACTTGTGATCTATTGTAATATTTACTTCGTAAATGTTGACTTAGCAAATAAAAATTTCTATACAAAAGCATAAACTGAACTTAGCTGGGATTTGGTTAAACTGTCAATCTCAATTTTCATTAAAAAAGGATGGTTAGTCATTGGTATAAATAATGTACAATGTTTCGTAGTTTGATTATTAAAGCACAATGGGCAAAATAGAGATTATATGAACGGGCCAAAATAAGTCTAACATTAGTGATATTAATACAGTTATAATAAAGTAGGGTTGTTTATGCAATGAAATTGACTACTTATATAATAATCTTGCAGCATATAAAAACTGCTATTTTTAAAATACATGGCATATCTTAAACTCGATTTTTGGACTTATATATCATATTTTGCAGCTTGTATTATATGACTGATCCATGATATTTGAAGAACTGAAATATTGATATATAAATGGCTCAATTTAGTGTTTCTGAGTCTCTCCTTCTGGCTCCGAGTACAGATTACTAACCCATCAATTTAATACAAAATGCATAATCATATCATAAATTTGAAGAGATATTCGAACCTTCCAGCCTATTCTTATAGAGTTTTGTTAAAATTACAATTACATTGTACATGGTTCAGTAAATAATAAATGGTGTGCTGTACTCAGCTTTTTGACTGCTTGAATTTATTATGTGGTGATAGTTGTCACAAATAAAGACTGTTCACCTATTAACTAATCATCTCACAACGATTTCTCACAAGTACAGTGCATTTGAATGTGCAGGAGATGGTCGGATCACGTGTGATACCTGTAGAGGATACCATATGCTGAAATGTTAGGTCAACTTGTCTGTCAGATTGTGAGTACTTGTATTTGACATACTGTTATGTCAAGATGACTGTCATATTGTAAGTACTTGTATTGGTCGTATTGTTATGTCAAGTTGACTGTCATATTGTAAGTACTTGTATTGGACATATTGTTATGTCAAGTTGACTGTCAGATTGTAAGTACCTGTATTGGACATACTGTTATGTCAAGTTGACTGTCAGATTGTAAGTACTTGTATTGAACATACTGTTATGTCAAGATGACTGTCAGATTGTAAGTACTTGTATTGGACATACTGTTATGTCAAGTTGACTGTCAGATTGTAAGTACTTGTATTGGACATACTGTTATGTCAAGTTGACTGTCATATTGTAAGTACTTGTATTGGTCGCATTGTTATGTCAAGTTGACTGTCAGATTATAAGTACTTGTATTGAACATACTGTTTGAAACCAGGCTTAGGTTGAGGCACTAATAAACATGTCGCAACCAGAAGACAGACAAGGAGTCACGAGGCTGCTTGGAATGGTAACTTACCTCAGCAAATACATACAAAATATATCTACAATTACTGAGCCAATACGTGTTATACTTGAGAAAGAAACTGAATGGCATTGGAAACATGAGCAAGACAACGCTCTTGATGAAATAAAGAGAATGCTGACTAGTGAACCAGTGTAAGTAATATGATGTTACTAAACCTGTTACAATATCTGCTGGTGCATCAAAGAATGGACTGGGTGTTAACTGGGTGTTCAAAGGTGAGAAACTGATAATGTGAACTAAAAAGTGACACATTGACGAAATTACATGAAAGTCATATGGGAGCGGAGAAGACTCGCAAACGAGCCAGAGATATAATATTTTTGCCAGGAATGTCTTCTGCGATAACTGACATGGTGTCAAAGTGTAGTACCTGTCTGAGGTATCGACCTAAGAACCAAAATGAACCCTTGATATTCCCACAGAAACTATGGCAGAAGGTAGGAACTGATTTATTTTATTAAACTGTAAAGACTACCTCACAACCGTTGACTACTACTCAAAATATATAGAAGTACAGTTATTAAATGACAGTAATGTGTCTGCAGATATCATAACGCAGCTGAAATCAAATTTTGCTAAATACGGTACTCCAGAGGAAATAGTGCTCGACAATGGACCGCAGTATGCAAGCTACAAATTTCGGAAATTTGCTAACAATTGGGGATTCAAACACACAACGTCCAGTCCACGATACCTACAGTCCAATGGTAGAGAAAGCAGTTGGAACAGTTGAAAGCATTACTAAAGAAAGCAATGGATACTGGAAATACAGAACAACACCCTTTTCTGGTATGAACCATTTTCTCCTACAACCAAAGGTGATACCACAAGTACCTGAAATGCTGTAAGATTGACCAGCATTGCAAAAAAAGATTCTACGATAGTAAAGCAAACCCATTACCAAACATAGATGACCAAACAGGTGACACAGTCAGAATGAAAGTCGGAAGGAATTGGGAACCTGCATTAGTGGTCGAGAAAGCTAATAACCCACGTTCATATGTTGTGTCTACTCGAAATGAACAGACATATCGTCGAAATCGTCGTGACCTTATGAAAACATAGGTTCCACCTAAAATTAATGTGTCATACCAAGATGACACCCGCTCAGAAACACCATATCGCCAACGAAGCTGTTGTCAACAGCTAATGAAGAATATAGAACATCGTCTGGAAGACCTGTAAGAAACCAGCAAGATTCAGAGATGAATAGAATATTTTGCGTAATTAGATAAACATCAAGTTACTGTTGCAGAGCAAAATAATCAATGGGATTGATGTATGGAGACAAATAGTCTACTTGTTCTCTAATTAGTGGTTATTAGTTGTGTTAAATTTATAGATGTGTTTGTTATTAGTTCAGTTAATTACTACATTAAACAAGTATCATACAACATACTTAGTATTTCAACATGTCGCAGACAAAGTAACGACATGTAATTAGGTTGTATGAAATTTGTCGACACATGCGGTAAGAGACTTGATTTGGCCGGGGAAAAAATCGTGCAAATTCTGGGCTTCAGTAACAGTGTTTGCTGATTTTTTGTGTGCAATGGAAATTAATACAAGAAATGCTACCAAAAGACATTTCCTTCTATTAAACTCAACAACCTTGGGACGTTTATCTTGATAAATTATAAAGACGAAAATCCCTTGTGACAGTCGTTCTTGTGAAACAATGG